GGGTTTAGGGTTTAGGGTTGATGCTCTGTCCTGTCCTGGTCATTATGGAGCAGTCCAAGTTCAAGGCCGAAACCGGCAGCCGCCAGTGCCGGACACACAAACTTTCATTACGACCTGCGCAGGCGGGGTACCACTCCAGGAAAGAGAAAAAGCCCGTGGAACTTCGACGACAAGAACTCGACGACAAGAACGTTTTCAACTGCAAGATCTGAGCGACCAGGAACTGTCAATGATGCTTCGCGGTGCCGAAGCTGCCAGTGCAGCGGAGTGGTTGGAAATGCTGCGAGGCCGACTGGCAGACGTCGGACACTCTTTGGAGCAGGTGACTCCAATGTTTTCGCTCGCAGGTTGGCGCAGATCCCCGTGTTGAGGCCCAACACCTCACGGCAACAAATGGCGCCGGACTGATCAGTGAGGATTTCATGCTTATGAAGTGTCCCAGCCAGTTTTCAGCAGCCGCCGTTTCAGCACGTTTTTGCATTAAACTAGGACTTGAAGGCTTGAAGAGCAAACCAAAGAAAGCTGCTCAAGACGCCAAGCAAAAACCCGAGGCTGAAGCCAAAAAAGCAACCCGATGGCTCGAGGCCCGGGCCGAGACGGTTTGGAGCGTGGGGTATTGGCAGCAGGCTCAGGCGAGGCAAAAGAAGAAGCGGGACTACGACTCGATTTGACTACGGCATGGTCAACCAGATAGACAATGTCGCGCGGAACCGACATAGCGGCGTGGGCCTGCCCATTCAGATGCTGATGGCCATGCGCTGCACGTCGGAATTCTTGCTGCCTCGGGCTGCACGGCGTTTCCTGCTGATCCAGCTGCGGCTTGTGGCAGGCTGTCACGCTGCGAATGATCCTTGGGACGAGAGAGCTGCCGTGGTGGCGCTTGCGCGGTCCTTCAACGTGGAACGGTGCCTGGAGCCCCGGGGGGGGAGGAGACGGGCGAGTGGATGTGAGGAAGGCAAAAAGTGCACTGCTTGGAGGGCCTGCAAGTGAGTGCGAGTCCGTGTGAGTGAACTTTTGTTGACCAGTGCTGCATTCGTTATGCTGCAGCATTTTGTTTTTTTGTTTTCTGGGAGGGCAAGGGCTTCTTTTTTGAATTGGAAGGCACGCTCCTAGCATAGACCAGCTCTTGCTGTCCGGCATCATCTCGCCAAGGCATCGCCAGCAAGGGCGGTTTCAGCTGCAGTGTGCCCGCAGGGAGCTGGCCAGGCGAGAAGACGAAAAATGGGAGCAGAGTGTGATGAGACGGGTGCACGAAAACGGCAGCGACGACGTGCTTCGGTTCCTCGCTGAAACTCAGGCGCGGCAAGGGATGTGCGCTGAGGAAGGTCGTGCTGTGTGTGCTGCACAAGCTGGGCTGCCGAAGCACTTCCGGGGTGGACTCCCCAGTTTGAGAGCTCGGATGAAGAGTACGAATCGTAGAAGTTGAGGAGCCTCTTATTCCGAGAGCTCAGTCATCTGCACCTGCCTTTCATAGGTTGGCGAAGTGAGCCTACGGTGGATTTGCCTCGGAGTCTGCTTCTCTTCAATTCAATTTGCTTTCCCGGCAGATTCAATGATCTGTGGAAGATCTGTCTTCGAAGTGTCCTGCGGGACTGGTCGTCTTGACATGCCCATGATGGTGTGCATTTGCCGGTCCAAGCACACTACATCGCGGTTCTTTGGACTGCGTTCCGCTTCTACAGTCAGCCGGCGGCAACCTAGCTGGCACGCCAGCGGCACCCTCACATACTCAATGTGTCGCTTGACTTGGAGCAGGCATGAAAACCCTAAGCCCTTTCAGGACAGAAACATGGTGTTCAAATCAAGGAACCCTCAAAGAATGCCTTAAACCCCGAGCCTCAAACCCAAAATGGCCTGTTCAGAATCGAACCCCTGCTACTTGGCTGCGACCCAACTTGGAATTTGGTCTTCCTTGTTGTGGCCAGATGACTCGGGCGATTGTGCCTTGGAGGAGTCACAGTTTGCCAAGTTTGCCTGCTGGCATCTAGATGTGATTTATAGGGTTTGGTGAGAGCTGTGAGTTTCCGGTTTCCATGTTTTCTTGCATTGGAAAATTGTCGATATTCGGGCCCGTCAGGCCTGTAGTGACTTATGACATACGTTGTTGCATAGGGACTAGTGTCTTACAGTGTTACGATGTCGTACCTGAGAACAGCAGCGCCGCAGCTTGCCGGTTGACAGAAAGATTCGTAGTAGTGTTTGGGAGCATGCCAGACTCGGCGTCGGAATGCAGCCGCACGCACAGGCGCAGCGGCGCAGCCCATCCTTCACCTATATTAAGGAGGAAGAGGGGGAGAAGGATCGGTCCAGATCACCCACGAGAACACCAATTATACAATTACCACCAACACGACCTCCACCACCAAAACACACTCCTCCTCGTCCTCCTACACCACCACCCCCACCGGCACAACCATCCGCAAACCCGACCCAACAAGCAGCAAAAGCCGTGCCTCCAGCCCCACCAGCAACAACGCAGTCCGCGCCTGCAGCTTCCACAAAGCCAGACACTCTTTATCGATCCGTTTTCCCCTTGACCCGCGATTTTCGCATTTATCTTCACTGCCATGCACGTGGCATAGGGTTTAGGGTTCAGGGGTTACTGTAGGGTTTAGTTTAGGGCTCAGGGGTTACGATTTCGGGTTTAGGAACTCTACAGCAGCATGATCGACAAGTGCAAGGCGGCCACTGCGCATCATGTCCCTTATGCATCCTTCTGACTGGGGACGTCCAGCCAATCTGAGCGTGTGGACGAAGTTCTGAAAGGTCAGAAACCGAATGCTCCGAAGAAAAGCGATTTGCTGGACAGCTGCATGCGTCGACAATATTGACTTTCTGATCGACGACTCCGCCAGTCAACCCTCGGTGGTGAACATCGCTGATGTAGGCGCTAGTGATAAGAATCCACATCTTTCAATATCCTTCAGTTCAGAAATACACGTTTTTTTATCGTAGGATCCGTAGTATGATTTGAGGTATGTTCCCGGTCTAAAGGATTTTGGAAGATCTTGGCATGGTACTTCTGAGGGTAAGAGTAACAAAAGCATGTTTTGCAAGGGGTTTTGAGTTCTGGTGATTAGTTAGGGCTGTTCGTGTTCACGGTCTTGGGTTTAGGGATGAGAGTTTAGGGTTGTTTTGGGGTTGATTATGTAGGGTGGTTCTTCGGGTACAAACCTAAACCCTCAACCCTCAACCCTAAACCCCTAAACCTTAAACCCCTGAACCCCCCAACCTCCTGAGCCCTAGACCCGAAGCCACACCTTTTACAAAAAAAACAAAGCCTGCGACCCCGTTTTTCAAAGACCCTTACACATGCATAATTTCTATAGACCAGCCTACGGCCTTGCAAAGACCCCAAGCCCTAAGCTCCTTTAAATTTGCAAGGGCCATAAATCCCTAAACCCCTTAGCTAACCCTAAAAGCCCTAAACCCTAAACCCTGAACCCTAAACCCTAAACCCTGAACCGTAAACCCTAAACCCTAAACCCTAAACCTAAATTCTAAGCAAAGGAGCTCTTTCCACCGGGCGATCCTGTGCCAGCCCCCGGATTCTACAAAGATGCCGGATCTTCCTTGAAGAAGCCCCCCGGTTGAAGGGTTTAGGCTGTAGGCTTTAGGGCTTAGGGTTTAGGGTTTAGGGTTGAGGGCCAGGGGTTTGGGGTTTAGGGTTTAGGCCTTAGGGTTTGGATCCTTATGAAAAGGCCTTGTAAAAGTCAAGGCTTTAGGTTTATAATGTGGCCGTAGGATTTTCGGGTCGTCTTTATATAGGGACCCTAGATTTCAGGTTTCAGGGTTGACGGATGTATAAGGGTCCTTAAAAGCTGTTTTCGGAGTTTTTTCGGCCTTATGGATTTACGGTTTAGGGTTTAGGGCTTATGGAGAAAAGGGGTTCTGATAAGGCTCCTCATTAGGGTTTAGGGTTCGGTTTGGGGCTTAGGGTCCAGGGATATATTCGGTCCTGATAAGGGGGCTTCTTTCTCTTGAGGCGTGCGTGGTCTTGGGCTAAGGGCTTTGCAGGCTGGACGGGTTTAAGGTTTAGGCGAGGGTTTAAGATTTAGGGTTCTTCGGGTTGGGGATTTAAGGTTTCAGGGCAACTCAATCATTCTTTAAGCCTTGCACTATTGCAACCCGATACCCTGAAACCCGGCAACCCTGAACCCCAAAACCCCAAACAAACCCTTTAACCCGTGCGGTCCGGCTTTTGTGGAGAATGGGGTTCCTCGCCCGATGTAAATGCTTTCGGCCAGAGCCGACGCATAAAGCACGGTGACTTCAATCTTTGTCTTCGAGAAAGATGGGAAGGCTGACGAATGCAGGACTGCGGCGAAAGACACCTAAACCCTACCTTAAGAACCCAAAACCTACTTTTTTGTAGGGTCCCTTTCAATCCCATGTTAGGGTTTATAATAAGAACCTACAAAAAAGTGGGTTTTGGGTTCTTAAGGTAAACCCTAACATCCCCTACCGGTTGCAGGATCTACTGAGAGCCTGGTGGACGGGCACGGGCCCCATGCCAAGAACTGGCTCTAAGCATGCTCGGTGTACTCTCGTGCACATCGCAGGTGGTGCTCAAGAACCATCTTGCCACTTTGCCCTAAACCCGAAACCCTAAACCCGAAACCCTAAACCCTAAACCCTAAACCCTAAACCCTGCACCCGAAACCCTACACCCGAAACCCCAAACCCTAAACCCTACACCCGAAACCCTAAACCCTAAACCCTAAACAAGCTGGTCTCCGACCAGAAGAAGACAGACCCGAACTCCAAGATCCACTACTTCTAGATGGAGCTCGTGCCCACTGCCTCGGATCCCTGCGCCTTCATGTGGGTTCGCGGTATGCACTTGGGGATATCGGCTTTGGGGAGACCGCCGTTGGCGAGGAGCCGGAGCATTCAAAAACACCATGTTGAGTCTTGAAACAACATAAAAAAATAACAACTTGCGATGACACACTACGTGCCGAAGGCCGTAAAGCATGTTGGGGAACCCACTTGCCCCAACATAAACTTGCCGAAGTCAACATGCCTAAATTTAGATGTGCAGGGTTTAGTGTTTAGGAAACCCCTGAACCCTAAACTCTAAACCCTATAAATCCCAACCCTAGACCCTAACCCTCGGGGTCGGCCAAGGTCCGGTGTCTCGCAGTTCGGTCGTGCGCGGCGAGAGATCACACTGGCTGTGCGAGAGACCTCGCGAAATGGAAGGGGGCCTTTAGGACTCTACCTTAACCAACCAAAACCCACTTTTTTGTAGGCTCTTATTATAAACCCTAATATGGGATTTATAGGGACCCTACACAAAAGTGGGTTCTGGTGGGTTAAGGTAGGG